ACTGCATGTACACTTCAAATATATACATGAGGGTTGTCCACGGACTCTCTCTGTATCCCCGCCATGGCTGTAAGACAGGCCGGTCATTTCCCCATTGCCAGTGAGGAGATAGAGGCCCAAGACAGAGACATCATGGCACAGCCAGAAGGAAGCCTGGTCTCCCATCTCTATGCCCAGTGCATCCTGAGGGTACTCAGTCAGATGATACTTCATGCAGGGAGCAGTTGTATAGCAGCGGGGGCTGGCCCCTCTCCCATGCTCTCTCCTTGAGGTGCCATCTTGGAACTCTGTTTGGAAGCCACCAGGGTGGCAGAGGTCACTCAGAGCCATGGCCTCTCCTCGGAAGGGGAGGGAGCTGGCGTGCTGTAACATGATGTGCTCTGGTGATTGAACCTAGTGATACACTTAGGAAAGATCAGGAAGGAAAAGATAGGAAGCGGGGAAAGACTCAAGAGGAAGTGGACGGTTGTAAAAGAGATAAGGCACGTGCTGCAGGGTCTTATCAGGAACCGTATGCAGTTGGTCACTGACCCAGCAATGGAGCCTTTCGGGGGAGTGGGTGGTCAGCTCGGGCCTGGAGAAGTAGTGACCACAGTGCGAGGTCCAGGAGCCCCTGCTCTTGGGGATGGGAGCATGGGCCCTGGAGTCAGACAGACTCAAGTTCAAGTCTCTGCTACTTCTAGGTATGTCTTTGGATGAGACACGTAATCTCACTGAACCTTAATTCTTCATCTGTAAAGTGGGAATAATAATGATTGTGACAATGAAATGAAATCATGCTTAAAAAGCACCTAACACAATAATAACCACTAAATACATACCATTAAATAAAAACAACTAAATGATACCATTTGTGGCCATCATAATTATATTGACTAGCATATAGAAGGAAGGAAATTCTATTGAATAAAATGATCATCCCCCTGGCTCTGCCCTTGACAAATTCTTCCCTTGATTTCAACTTTCTGGGCTACTATATTACCTTTATCACCCAAATTACTTTTAATTTTTCAAGATTCCATGCAATGAAGAGAAATTAGCCTCATTCTGAGGATAAAGTGAAGAGACAGCATGACTGAGGTGTCAAGGCTGGCACAGGGAGTGGCGCCAGCACCATGGTTCAAACCTGGTCCCACAGCCTGTGGGCTCAGCCACTGCCTCTGAGCGGAGAAGACAGGGTGTCTGATGATGACAGGAGAGCACAGCCGTCGTCACGAAGGGACGAGCTGAGGGACCCAGCCTGGCTTGGGGGTTAGGAGACGTCCTGAGACTCAGCAATGCGCAGGGATGTAGGGGTCTCACAGGGGAATGCAGAGCTGGAGGCCATGACTCCCACACACAGTCAGAGGAATTCTCTCGGGGTCTGCCATGCAAGAACTTTAAAATCCTAGCAATTATGCATTCATTATAAATCATTAATGCATGAGGCTCTGATTTTACATTTAGGAGATGATAGGGGATCTCCTTTTTAAAAAAGAATATTTTTGTATTGATTTCAGAGAGGAAGGAAGAGAGAGAGAGAGAGAAACATCCATGATGAGAGAGAATCATTGATCGGCTGCCTCCTGCCCGCCCCCCACTGGGGATTGAGCCCACAACCTGGGCATCTGCCCTGACTGGTAATGGAACTGTGATCTCCTGACTCAACCACTGAGCCATACCAACGGGGCGGGGATTTCCTTTTTAAATATACAAACACACATAACAATATTAGGTAAACAAGAGTAACTGTTTATGGAGAAAATCAGGACCCCAGAAGTCTGATGCCTGAAGTCTGGGAAATGGATTTAGTACTATCTTTTCTTTTTCTTTTTTATGGTAGAGAAAACTGAGTCTCAGAAATACTACAAGATTTGCTCAGTGTCACAGAACAAGTTGCTGCCCAAGTTTAATCATATGAAAATGTCTTTCATTTCCCCCAAACCCGAAGATAACCCTAAGGGAAAAGTGATGCATCAAGTTTGCGTGCTGGGTGACATTTGATAAATGATTCTCGGCTCTGCTGGCGGCCAGATCCTCTGATTAGAATCTTTCTGATGCTTTCCCTGTTTTTCCTCAAGTTGATTTCTCTGTCTAATCTTCCACTGTCTCCCAGGTCCTCCGCCTTGGCTTTAGAACGAGGATTTGGGGCTGAGTCACTGGGCTCTCCCGGGCCCTGAATCATTAGGTTACATCTGACTGTGAGCTGGGCTTAGCTGGCGATGGGCGGGACAGACTCTGGACTTTGCGTCCAGATGGGTTGGAGCTCAGCTTGGCTTCTACTGTGGTGTGTGGCCATGACTTTAACCCCTTTCTCCTTGGCTGCCTACCTCATGGGGTTGTTAGGAAGAGAAAAGGGGACCGAGCTTTTGGAGCTCAGATGACTCTGCCATCAAAGGGGCTCCTGGGACCCTGTCAGAAACTCCCAGGCACATGCACAGTGACTAAACCATCATGGCTGACTCCAGAGGGCACCCAGGGCCGACCCTGCCCTGATGCGGAGTCCAGACACTGCTCATGTTTATTTATCTCTTTCTGAGAGTGAAACACTGCCATTTATGCCCCGGCCGGTGTGTTCAGTTGTTAGAGAGTCAGTCCAAGCATCTCAGGGTTGAGGGTTTGATTCCCAGATGTGTCTAACCAAATGTCCAGGTACTGTGGCCTAGCCAAGTTGGCACATAAAATCAACCATCGCAGTATATAAATATACAAATGGCCCAGTACATGTACCTGGCCCCAGTCGGGATGTGTGCAGAAGGCAACCAATCAATGTCTCTTTCACATCCATTTTTTTTCTTTTTCTCTCCCTCCCTCCCTTCCTCCCTCCCTCCCTCCCTCCCTCCCTCCCTCCCTCCCTCCCTCCCTCCCTCCTTTTCTCCTTCCCTTCCTCTTTTTTTCCCTTCCCTCTCTTTCCCTCCCTCCCATTTCTTCCTCCCTCCCTTCCACTCTCTAAAAATTTATAGAAAAAATATCCTTGGGTGAGTATTAATAAAAAAATAACTGTCATTCATAAACTAATATAACACATAGGATTTTATGTTGATTTTTGCGATAATTCTCAGCCATTATTTTCATTACTGTCCTGGTAAGGAAGGAACTATAGCTGGGACCCGGGGAAGGGATCTGGTCCTAGTCACCTGGCTGGTGGGTGAGTGGTGACCTGCGGCTCCTCGACAGGGGCCCCTCCATGTCACTGCCTGCACTGAGCCACGGAAGTGCAAAGGTAGGAGCTGACCGCAGGGGTTTTGTCCATCCATTCCTGTGTTTGTCATGAAAGGGTCACGAGTACCTCCTTCTGTGGGTGAGAAAGAGGCTCAGAGAGAGACGGGAATGGGCAAACTAGGATTAAGCTCTAATTAATTTCTAGCCAAATTAGGAAAATCAGCTCCTTCCTTATAAGTGGAGGTGTTGGTAGCAGTTATTGGCTATATGCTCATTAGGAGCTGAGTTTCTAGAATAATCGAGGGAGAGAGATTTATTTTAAGAAATTGGCCCATGTGCTTGTGGAGGTTGCCAATTCCAAAATGTGCAGGGCAGCCAGCAGCAGCCAGATCCAGGTCAGAGTTGATGCTGCAGCTGGAGCCCGAAGGCCATCTGGAGGCAGAACTCCCTCTCCCTCGGGGAGGTCAGTCTTTTTCTGGTCAGGCCTTCCACTGATTGCATGAGGCCCACCCACGAAGGAGGGTAATCTGCTTTACTCGGGCTACTGAAATACAGCTAACCTGATCTAAAACATAACCTTCACGGCAGTATCCAGATGTGTCTAACCAAATGTCCGGGAACTGTGGCCTAGCCAAGTTGGCACACAAAATTAACCACCACAGTATATAAATAAACTAGTGGCCCAGTGTGCCGATTCATGTACATTAAAAGGAAATTAGTTAGAAGAAATATTTTAGTATTGCTATTTGCTCTTCAATTATAGAAGTATCAGAGATGAAAGAAAACTAGTAAAATGTATATGAAAATAATATATAAATTAATAAATAATAACAACAAATAATAAATAAATAACAACAATAAATAATAATAAATGATATAATAACAAAGACATGATATAAAAACAACAAAGACATGATATGAAACCAACATTGATAAAAAAATGACTGATAAATTGATTAAACTTATTCTAATATCTCCCTGTATACCACATTAAGAGTAAAAACACTTTTGTGCTTGACTAATTTCCTTTGTGATGAAGTATTTAAAACTTTAATGTCACACTCTCTTTGAGCTCGGGAGAAAGCAACATATAACCATGTCTGAAAATGGATTCAGGTAGGAATATTCCTACTCTGTCTAGAGTTTATCCTTGTGATTTATTAATAGTTATCACAAATGCTGGCATCACGGGAAACTGTCTTTGAATTAATTTAAATGGGAGGCCAGTGTCAGACGGGGACAAATCAAGTCTTAGAATCAGAACCACCCCTCCTTCTGCAGATCCTGTTAATACCTCAGCTTCGATTATGTTAGGTCACAATCTTTTGATAATAAATGTAGTACCATTACAGAGACCCCATTTACTATTAAGATATCTCAGTAGCATGATGATTGCACCTACTTTTAATTTTAATGTATGACACGGCATTCCCAAAGGAGTAATACTATTAAGAAGTTCGATATGAGCTTTATATGTATCGCACATGGGTGCGGGTGCGCATCATGTGTACCGGCCAGTTGGTCGGACAGATGGACAGTCTTTTATATATGTAGATATAAATAATGTGCAGAATAACACAACTAATATTTACTGACCATTTATTATGGGCCAGGTGACATAACCTCATTGAATAATTCCTAATACTGATTATGGGAAGGTACCTGACACACAGAAGAACATGATAGTTTCAAATTTATTGATAGAAGACAATTTAGAGTAGAGGTAATGAAGGAGGATTTTGGCATCAGGCAGACCTGAGTTCCAGTTCTAAGGCTGCCACTATCTGACTGGGGCAAGTTACGCAATCTTTCCGAGTCTCTTTTCTCATCTGTGAACCAGAATTAAAAATAGTGCTTACCTCATCAAGGTAGCAGGAGCTTGGTAACTCTCTACTGACAAATGAGTGTCGAAGGAGCCTCCAGAGTGGTTATGAGAATGAAGGGAGAAACTTTACCTGAAGCCCCTGCCACAGTCCCTGGCATCTGGTGAGAACCCGTTGAGTTTAGCTGCCTTATCCTGCGATTATTTTTTCTCTTGACATCTGCACATTCAGAGTCATGGCTGGCAGCTGTTGGCATCCATCTAGTAAGACTTGGCAAGACATGGCTTCCAGGAAGGTCTGGCCTCTGAAGGACAAGACAAGACAGAAATCTGTTGCCTGACTCAGAGGCTGGCTTCTCATACTCCGACGCCTTCCTCAGGGTGGCCGGGTCTCTGCTGGTCCCAGAGCTCCTTTCTCAAAGCTCTGGCCATGGGCTGGGCAGGGAGCCTTCTCTGAAGAACCAGGTGATGGGTCTGGAGCTGGGTGAGCTCCCCATGCCTCTGCCAGCGCATCCTTCTCCTCGTTTGCAGGCCTGCCACTCAATGGAAACCAGCTGTCTCTCCTCCTGAGGTCTGTGACCTCTCTGCAAACACTCCATCAGGCCAGTGGTTCTCAGCCTTCCTAATGCCACGACCCTTTAATACAGTTCCTCGTGTTGTGGTGACTCTAACCATAAAATTATTTTTGTTGCTACTTCATAACTGTAATTTTGATACTTTTATGAATCATAATGTAAATAGCTGTGTTTTCTGATGGTCTTAGGTGACCCCTGTGAAAGGGTCGTTTGACTCCCAAAGGGGTTGAGACACACAGGTTGAGAAGAACCACTGCATTAGACAAATCATTCTCATTTGTTCTAAAGCAATTTTCACTATTTATAAGGACTTCAGGGTTACCACAAATCAGCATTGTGTTAATTCATTTTTCAATAAAATTTTTGTCATCAAATCCCAGCTCTGACACAAACTCTGTGACCTTGGTCAAGCTTTTTACTATCTCTTATATGCCTCAGTTTCTTCATCTGTAAAATGCGTATGATATTAAAATCCACTCAACAGGCCTATTATGACATTTGAATGCATTGATCTATATAAAGCATGTAAAAACTAGTAAGTGCTCAATAAATAGTAGCTATTACTATTATTATTAGTACTAGTGCTATTCTTCCTCTACCATGACCAGGGACTCTACCGGGCATTGGGAAACAGCAGTGGACACAACACAGTCCATCTCCACCTTTGTGATGTTTGTATACTTGTGAGCAGGTGGGAAAAATACCAGATAAAAATAAAAAAAAAACAGCCCACAGGTGTGGTTATAAATTGTGATGAGTGTTCTGAGGAAGTCCGACAGGAAACATTGATGGAGACACACAGGGGGCGGGGGAAGGGCTTAGAGGGACAGGCCATGGAAGATGTCGCTGAGCTGCTATTATTTTGGTTTAACTCTGAAGGATGAGAAGGAAGGAAGGATGTCAGAGTCTCTCCTGGGCATCATCGTATGTTTGTCTATTCATCTAGGCCTGTGCCCACCCTCGGAGCCGGCGCTGTCCCCACCCAGATGGCCTGGGCATGACCATTCACACATCACCCTTAGCTCCTTGCTGCCGCAGCATGAAGCACAACCTCTTAGCTTGCTTCCACGTAGAGTTACAACATAATTTTCCAGTTTTATTTCCTTTTTTCATGTTGGTGTTCACCTTAGAGGTAATTTGTAGTTAGTAATATATGAATATATTTTCCTCATGAAAACTTAAAGCAATAGAATAGAGGTAAATGTAAAGTTCTTTTTTGTTTTTACCACTGTCCCCCCTTCCCCATCTTGATCTCAGATGCTTTCCTGAAGGTAATACTACGGTCAGTTTGCTATGAATCCTTCCACATGTGTTTAGAATCCATGATTTATGGATATATCTAAAGAGTGTATAAAATGATAGAGAAGGTGGCGTGAGGAGGGGCTCTGCATCCTGGAAGGTCTGCCACCTGTGCTGCTGACAAAGGCTCTGGCATCTCCCTGCAGAGATCTAGCCCGCTGCTGCCCGGGGCCCCATCCACGTTTTCCTGGAGGTCCAGGCTGGAGGGGGGGGGGGGTGGCCTCGTGTCCCCTCTCCTCTCTGCTCAGAAACCTCAACTACCCCTTCTCCATCCCCACCCCCCCTCCCCCAAGCATCCCTATTAAGACTCCTCCATCACCCAAATGCCTGGAGACCTTGGCCCCGGGGAGGGGGGGGGGGGCAGGGACGGGGGACACGGCCTCTGGCGAGTCCCCAGTAGCCTCCACACCTGCTGACTCCTTCCCACCTAAGTCTCCCACGGCTGCTGAAGAGATGATAGGAACCCACACTTCGGACTGAAGAGGCTCGTGTGTTGCTTGGCAGGGTTCTGTTGCAAGAAGTTTGGGAATGCAGCCAGAGAGTGGAGCAGCTGTGGGGGGAGGGGAGAGAGAGAGAGAGAGAAAAAGAGTGGGGGTGGGGCTGGAGATTCCTGCCTCTTGCTCTCAATACTTCATATTTCTTCTCATTTTTCATATCTCAAAATAAATGTTCATGCCGGGCTGGTGTGGTTCTAAGAGGTCACTGGTTCAGTTCCAGGTCAGGGCACATGCCTTTGTTGTCTGCTGGATGCCCAGTAGGGGGTGTGCAGGAGGCAGCTAATCTATGTTCTCTCATCCATATTCCTATCTCTCTCTCTCCATTCCTCTCTTTATAAATATCAATAAAAAATACATTAAAATAAAACGTAAAACAGCACAAACAAGGCAGCTTTGCAGGGGCCAGAGCTGTGGGGATGGGTGCGAGGCTGGCTGTTCAATGTCTCTGTTGGCTCCGGACCACCGGCCTGAGGAGGGGGTCCCGGGTGGGAGAGGCTCTGCAGGCTGGATTGGGGGCTCCTGGAGGGCAATGGGTGTGGGGTGACAGGTGTGAGCTGAGACTGGTTCTGGGCTAGTTCCTTGTAATGTTCCAGCGACAAGTAACTCCATGCCACTTATTTCTGTGCTCCTTCCCCAGCTTTAGGAAGAACTGTGTCTTGGGACCCAGCCCCAACTCAGAGGCTGTCAAAGGTAGGAAAGCCCCTGAGATTGCGCCCAGCCCAGCCCAGCCCCTCCACAAACATGCAGGGACTGTTTGTCTCCTGCGGCTGCGGCTGTGACACCAGAGCCCAGACGCAGGGGCTTGTGAAACAACACAAACCCATCGCCTCCCAGCTCTGCAGTGAGGAAGCATGGCACAGGCCTCGCTGGCCTGTGGTCGAGATGCCAGCAGGGCTGCGCTTCCCTCCCGAGGCTGGCCTGCATTCCTTGGCTCGTGGCCCCTTTTTCCATCTTCCAGGTCAGCCGCTCTGGCTGGGCCTGTCTCACGTGGCATCATTCTGACCTCCGCACCTGTCTTTTCCACTCTGAAGGGCCCTTGTGATCACACTGGGCCCAGTTCTGTGGGGGTGGAGATGCGTCCATATTGAGCTCAAGAAGAACAAGACAGCTGGAGCAGGTTTGGCTCAGTGGATAGAGCTTTGGTCTGCGGACTGAAGGGTCCCAGGTTCGATTCCGGTCAGGGGCATGTACCTTGGTTGCAAGCATATCCCCAGTGGGGGTTGTGCAGGAGGCAGCTGATAGATATTTCTCTGTCATCAGTGTTTCTAACTCTCTATCCCTCTCTCTTCCTCCCTGTGAAAAATCAATAAAATATATTAAAAAATAAAAAAAGAAAAGAAAAACAAGACACTCAACAAGATGCCAAGCTGCTCACCCCAGACGGGCACGGGAATCTGAAAACAACAGCCCCTCGGGTTGCCGGCCGGGCCACGCAGCCCTCGTGGAGGGGAGATCTGAGGCGCACACGTGAAATCAGGGGCTTCCAAACCAGCCTGACAGGAAAAGGAAAGGCCCCTTGGATTGTTTCGGGGCGAAGAGGAAGACCAAAGGCAATATTATCTTTCACCAGCCACTCCCTGTGGGGGAATGAGCTTTCCCCAGAGCACTGCCTCCTCTCCGCAGCTCAGGGAGGAGCTGGCTTGTTCTTCCCTGGGAAAGCCTAATTGTAATCAGGTATCACATCAGCGAGAACAGGGATTACCTGAGGTCAATCCAAGCCACACCCCTGGCCTGGCATTGACCTCTGGCCTGTTTTCTTGAGGGGGACTTGAGAGTTAGGCTGCAGGTTTGTGAGGAGTCCTGGCTTCTGTGCTGGTCGGCTGGGGACCTAGTCAAAGTGCGGAGCCAGTTCCTGTCCCCAGGGGGCCATAATCTCTCACCTCAGGCACAGGGCTGAGTCAGTTCAGTGTAAGGGGACAGAGCATTGCCCTCCAAGCGCTCGGAGTCCAGCAGTGAAGCGAGGAAAAGGCCGTGGGTGTCAGGGCCGGAGGCCAGATTCAAACTGGGAAAGAAATGAGAAGCAGAAGGAAGAGCCAGGAGGAGCGTCAGGGCTGAGCCGGGAGCCCTGGCCCTCGCAGGTTGGGAGAGGACTCGGGGGAGAGTTTCCCAGATATTAAAAGAACGGCTTAAAACGACCGGAATCAATCTTTCTCCCCTTTTAGCAAAGATGGGCAATACACTGTTTATCCTCTCCCAGTCCCCGGGGACTTTAGGCCTCTTATAGTTCCCCAAAATAACAGCTGATGGCTCCATAAGTGCATGTCCAAGTCCTAGAAGTATCTTGCGTCCAGCACTAGGCTGCTCCTCCTGGCAAATCCTGGCCTGGCAGCCGCTGCCTCCAGCCCGGGCCTGTGGCCGCCTCTGCCAGCCGGAGGCTTTCGGGAGCCAGTGTGGGAGCAAACTCCCATGACTCATGGCCAGGGAAGCTGTCAGGGCGAGGGGAGGCGGGGGCACACCAGGCTAAGGGAAGGGAGAGAGGGAAGGAGAAGGAAGGAGCAGTGGACGGGAAGAGGGAAAAGGGTCAGAATAGGGAAGAAGGAAGCAAGAGAGGGAAGGAGGGAGGAATTAAAAAATGGGGAATAGTAACAATAATAAATACTTTCCTAGTACTGACAATTTTCTTCAATTGTATAAAGTCCTTAAAACGCACAACCACCACCCTGGCTGGTGTGTCTCAGTTGGTTGATCATCGTCTCATGCACGGAGAGGTCCCTGGTTCGATTCCTGATCCAGGCACGTGCCTGGTTTCAGGCTAGGTCTCCAGTAGGGGGTGTGCGGGAGGTAGCTGATCCATGTTTCTCTATCGATGTTTCTCTCTCCCTTCCTTTGTCTCTAAAATCGATAAAAATGGGTGGGGAGATTGACAAGAGGGGGGGGGGAGAACACATGGACATGGACAATAGTGTGGTGATTGGGAGGGTAGACATAGAGGGGATAAATGGTTATGGAAAAGATAAAATAAAATAAAATAAAAATCAATAAGAATATTTTAAAAACTGAAAATCACCTTTAACCCTGAAAACAACCCTATGGGGTAGGTTCCTCTATCAGATGCTTTTTTTATGGATAAAAAGTAAGATGTGAGGCATGGTGATCTTACTCTATCTGAAGACAAACAGGTTGGAAGTGGCGGATTCAGAGTGAAAGAAAGGGGGAGAGAGTTGGCATTGTTGGTGGGATGGAGAAGGCGAGGACGGTGTGAAGGACAG